AGCCAGCTGAAGTTCATTAGTTTAAAATAAGATAGGAATCTGCTTGAGACTCTCTTCCTCTCCCCCTGCCTCTCCCTCACGTGGGCTCACTCTCTCTCAAATAAATAAATATTTAAAAAATAAAAAATAAAATAGGCATGTCTTTAGAGTTATCAACACTGATTATAATGCAGACATTCAACTTCTTTTCTGCCTAGGTTTACTAGTCAAGTAAATAGCTCTTACAGAAAATAGCTTGCGGTGACGGCTGTCTAATGTCTCATGAAGTCTTTCTGAGTAGTCTAAACACAACCGTTGGGAGCAAGTGATTTAGTTAGATGTGAGATGTAAGTGGGGTAGAGGTTTTTGGTTGAATTTTTGAGCAGTTAACTATATTTTACAATATGTGTACTTAAAAATAGCTTCTAGGGACACCTGGGTGGTTCAGTGGGTTGAAGCCTCTGCCTTTGACTCAGGTCATGATCCCAGCGTCCTGGGATCGAGCCCCGAGTTGGGCTCTCTGCTCAGCAGGGAGCCTGCTTCCTCCTCTTTCTCTGCCTGCCTCTCTGCCTACTTGTGATCGCTGTCAAATAAATAAATAAAATCTTAAAAAAATAAAATAAAAATAAATAAATAAATAAAATAAAAATAGCTTCTAAAATCTTTTTGGTAACTTTACTTTTTTAAAGGATTTTATTTATTTATTTGGCAGAGAGAGAGAGCACAAGCAGGGAAAGCAGCAGGCAAAGGGAGAGAGAGAAGCAGGCTCCCACCTAGCAGGTAGCTGATGTAGGGCTTGATTCCAGCACCCAGGGATAATGACCTGAGGTGAAGGAAGACGCTTAACTGACTGAGCCACCCAGGCACCCCCTTTTTGGTAACTTTAAAATTTAGAGTTTTGCTAAGTTAAATGATGGAAGTTTACTGAATATCTAATTTCCAAGTAAGATAAAACAATGAAACATTAATTACTGAACACAGGGGACGCCTGGGTGGCTCAGTTGGTTGGGCCTCTGCCTTCGGCTCAGGTCATGACCCCGGCATCCTGGGATCGAGTCCCACATCGGGTTCCTTGCTCAGCGGGAGCCTGCTTCTCTGTCTGCCTCTGCCTGCCACTCTGTCTGCCTGTGCTCACTATGACAAATAAATAAATAAAATCTTTTTAAAAAATTACTGAACACAGGTTTTTATCTAATTTTGGGTTCCTGTTACACATAAAGATAAATATGGGCCTATTAGTAAACACATTTTACACCACACTAAAAGACTAAAATGAAGAAGCATATGCTTATAGGAATTATGAAATGTACTCAAAAATTTGCCAATCTAAAAGAATACTGATGTAACTGATCACAACTGCTTATTAGTTTTAACCAGAAAAAAAAAAAAGCAGGTTGTGTTTTTGGCTATGAAAGTGCATGAGGTATGGAGATGCATTTGTGTTACTGGAAAAGAAAGTAATTTGTCCTGAAGTCAATCTGGTTATTTCAAATTGGGAAAGGTGAAAAGAAAGGACAAATAGAAAGTGGGAACAGAGAGAGAAAATCCTACCTCATGTAATCAAGCTGGCTAAAATTGAATTGTTGGGGTACCTGGGTGGCTCAGTTGGTTAAGCATCTGCCTTTGGCTCAGGTCATGATCCTGGGATCCTGGATCAAGCCCCTAATTGGGCTCCCCACTAAGCAGGGAGCCGGCTTCTCCCTCTCCCTCTCCCTGCTCATGCTCACTCTCTCTCTGGCTGTCTCTCAAATAAATAAAACCTTTAAAAAAAATCTGAACTGTTATTACAAGGGTTTTTGTTTGGGTGCCTCAGTGGCTCAGTGGGTTAAGTCTCTACCTTCAGCTCAGGTCATGATCTCAGGGTCCTGGGATAGAGCCCCACATCGGGCTCTTTGCTCAGCGGGGAGCCTGCTTCCCCCTCTCTCTCTGCCTGCCTCTCTGCCTACTTGTGATTTCTGTCATACAAATAAATAAAAATCTTTAAAAAATTAGGGGTTTTGTTAAATTTAATTTTTTAAAGAAGATTTTATTTATTTGAGTGAAAGAGTGTGCTAGCAGGGGAGGCGCAGAGGCAGAAGGATAAGAAGACTCCCTGCTGAGCAGGGAGCTGGACACAGGGCCAATCCCAGGACCTGGAGATCATGACCTGAGCTGAAGGCAGATGCTTAACCTACTGAGCCATGCAGGCACCCTACAAGGGTTTTTAAAATAAGCTTTAATATTGGTAGTATACTTATGTAAAATTAAAACTTAATTTTTCATTTGCTAAAAGGACAATGTTTCCTTGGACTACTGGTCTGCTAATTTAAGAGACTGTGAAAGGTTTTTCTTTACCTTTTGAGTAATCTTCTTAGAAAGCAAAGATTTTGTATTTTATTAAAATAATTTCCTGTGCTTTATCAGCTCTTTAATTGGTTTTGCTCACAACTATGTAAGCTTTTGTATATGCCCATAAAATCTTTTGTCACTCTGGTTAAATAATGTTTCATAATCATCTCTGATCCGGGACGCCTGGGTGGCTCAGTTGGTTAAGCGGCTGCCTTCGGCTCAGGTCATGATCCCAGCGTCCTGGGATCGAGTCCCACATCAGGCTCCTTGCTCGGCAGGGAGCCTGCTTCTCCCTCTGCTTCTGCCTGCCTCTCTGTCTGCCTGTGCTCGCTCACTCTCTCTCCCTCTGTCTCTGACAAAAAAAAAAAAAAATCATCTCTGATCCTATTTAGTCAAATGTTTTAAAATATCTTGGTATTTTTGACAAAGTTTCCAAAAATTAAATGATAAATAAAGTCTTTTTTGACCTCAAACTAGTTTGGGGATTTTTCCAAAGGGCCCCCTTGAACCTCTCAAAAGATTTGTTCTCTCCTTATAAAAAGTGAGATATTAACTAATTAGGCTCATTTGGTATGTTAAATTACATGGGAAGCATTGTCAAATAACTGATAATAATCTTCTTAAACCTAAGTATTCCAGAAATCATATGACATTTTTAAAAAAGGTTTTATTTATTTATTTGACAGAGAGACACACAGTGAGAGAGGGAATACAAGTAGGGGGAGTGGGAGAGGGCAAAGCAGGTTTCCCGCCAGCAGGGAGCCTGATGCAGGGCTCCATCCCAGGACCCTGGGATCATGACCAGAGCCGAAGGCAGACACTTAACAACTGAGCCACCAAGGCACCCCTCATATGAAATTTCTAAAAATCTGGGGGTGCCTGGCTGGCTCAGTTAGTCGAGTGTGCAACTCTTGATCTCAGGGTTATAGGTTTGAGCCCCAAGTTGGGTGCAGAGATTACTTAAAAATAAAACCTTAAGAAAAAAAATTCTAAAATATTCTAAAATCTGAAAAAATTCTAAAAATCTGTTACATACTGGTATGTTTGCCATTTTAAAATGTATCTCACCAAAACAACCAAATTTCCTTGTCAACTGCATTATAACAAACACTCATCAGATCTTTAACCACTGTCATGTTAAAGGCTTTTGCTACTTACACTTATTTACTCTGATGCTTTTGCAAATGTTCCACAAAAGTGTTTCACCTTCAGAGAAATTCATGGGAAGGACTCTTTTTGCTTTTCCTTTTTAAGCAGGCTCCATGCCCTGAGTGGAGCCCTATAGAAAGAACTCGACAGGTACGCTAGAATATGGGTTTCCAATAACTTTAAGATCATAAAACTGAACTGAATAAGAATTTTTGGAACAAATGTAAAAGCTGGGTTTAACAGAACAAGTACTAATTACATAGTACTGTAAAGAACTGAAGAGGATGATTAGGATTCTTTATGACTTGTTTATATCACTCGTTCTTTCGTCCTTTTTTTTTAAGGTTATTTATTTATTTATTTGACAGACAGAGATCCCAAGTAGGCAGAGAGCCAGGCAGAGAGAGGTGGAAGCAGGCTCCCCACTGATCTGAGAGCCTGATGTGGGGCTCAATCCCAGGACTCTGGGATCATGACCTGAGTTGAAGGCAGAGGCTTTAACCCACTGAGCTACCCAGGCACCCCTCGTTCTTTCATCTTTTATCTTCCAGATATAAGGAACGCTTTCTTTAAAAAAAAAAAAAAGATTTTAGGGGCACCTGGGTGGCTCAGTCATTAAATTGTCTGCCTTCGGCTCAAGTCATGATCCTAGGGTCCTGGGATCGAGCCCCGCACTGGGTTCCCTGGTTGGCAGGAAGCCTGTTTCTCCCTCTGCTGCTCCTCTGCTTGTGTTCCCTCTCTTGCTGTGTCTCTGTCAAACAAATAAATAAAATCTTTTTTAAAAAAGATTTTATTTATTGGGGCACCTGGGTGGCTCAGTTAGTTAAGTGTCTGCCTTTGGCTTGAGTCATGATCCAGGGGTCCTGGGATCAGGCCCCAGGTTGTTGGGCTCCCTGCTCAGTGGGGGACCTGCTTCTCCCTCTCCCTCTGCCGCTCTCCCTGCTTGTGTTCAATTTCTCTCTTTTTCAGATAAATAAATTTCAAGTAAGTTTATTTGAGAGAGAGAGAAAGTGTGTGTGCACGGACTCAAACTGGGAGAGGGAGAGGGAAAGAATCTCAAGCGGACTCTGCACTGAGCATGGAGCCCGAAGTGGGGCTTGATCTCACAACCCCCAGATCATGACCTGAGCTGAAACCAAGAGTCAGATACTTAACCGACTGAGCCAGCCAGGCACCCCAGGAAACCTTTCTTCTTAAGCTATGACCTTAAGCAATTTGTTAAATGATACCTTTGAGAGCAGAATTGGAACATACATTTTTTACCTGATCCATCCAGAATTTGGAAATTCAGTATTCTTATTTTCATGGCAAGATAGTTACTTGCAGTAGTTCTATAAGAGTCTGTTCTCCTTATAACAGGACACAACTGGAAACACTGGCTATAGTACCAAGGCTTTGACCGGGATGTTATGTTTGAGAGAGACATGCACAGACTCAGATACCACTAGACAGTTTTAAGGAGCTAAGGTAACTTCATGGAGCCAATAAAGCCCCTTGGAAAAATCAGCCTGATACCTTGCTTATAGGGTTCCCGGTAGCCTTACCAGGTAAGGAAGGAGGGTCACCTTCCAGGAGAATAGGAATCTTAGGAAATCCTGGGAACCATGAAAATAGAAATTAACCCAAATCTGTAAGTATTACAGGTTAAGTCTGATGGCAAGTCTTGGCTTGGCTTTCTAACCCCAAGAAGCCTTTAAAGAGTCCAATCAGATTTCTTATGAAAAGTTCCAACAAAGCAGATTAAAAGAGCCTATATGATAAATCACCACTATTGTTACACTTATGTAAATAGGCCAAGTTTATTGAAACTAGACTGAATTTGCAAATAGATAGGTATGTGATTATCTTTGATAAAAATGGGGGTGATCTGACAGAGAAAAATTATGTTTCAGTAATACACCATTATGAATATCAAATTCTAGTTCTACTGGGGCACCTGGGTGGCTCAGTCAGATTAAGCATTTGACTCTTGATTTTAGTTCAGGTCTTGATCTCAGGGTTGTGAGCTCAAGTCCCACATTTGGTTCCACACGAAGCCTCTTAAGAAAAGTGGGGGGGTTGCCTGGGTGGCTCAGTTGGTTAAGCGTCCAACTTTTGGTTTCAGCTCAGGTCATGATTTCATGGGTTGTGGGACTGAGCAGCACGTTGGGCTCTGGGTTTAGCAGGAGGTCTGCTTGGAGATACTCTCCCTCTGCCCCTTTCCCCACTTATGTTCTCTCTCTAAATAAATAAATCTTTTTTAAAAAGTCTCAAATGCTAGTGCTATTGTCTTTGAGTTCTACCTATAAACTGGACTGGATTCTGAATCCAGAAGTTTCCTCCAGTATTTGGCTACAACTCTCCAAACTAACATTTCTAAATTTACCCCAACCTCCTGAGTTGGAATCAGAGAATAAAACTGCCCCTTTTCCAAAGCCATGTGAGCTAAAGTCGGACAACTTGATATAAGCTTCAGAGAAATCACAACAGATCACATAGTCTTCATGCCTATTGCTATGTGGACCACTCAGAAAGATCACCAGAGACATTCAGGAAAATCTTTCAGAATGCCACTGCCTGCCTCAACTCTATCTGAAGCTGCTTCAAGTTGAACATCTAGAAATCCTCTCACCAGGCTGCCTTCAGAACTCAGAAACTAGGGGGGTGCCTGGGTGGCTCAGTCCTTAGGTGATTGCATTCAGCTCAGGTCGTGATCCCAGGTTCCTGGGATGGAGCCCCACATTGGGCTCCCTGCTCAGTGGGAAGCCTGCTTCTTCCTCTCCCACTCCCCCTGCTTGTGTTTCCTCTCTGACTGTATCTCTCTCTGTCTAAAAAAAACAACTCAGAAACTGAAACTTTAATCTGCTCTATTAACTTTTCTGTTTCATTTTCACAGAAATTTCTCTTATTAAATACCAGACTGTATGCATCACAGCCCTAACTTTGGGAGCCCAAGTGCATCACCATCTCTTGAAATGAGACACAACTATTTAACTGAACTGACTATTCTCAGGATTAAGAGACCAGTTCAATGAGATGGAGCAACATACCAACTCAAATTCTGGGTTGTGGAACTTCATGGGCAAGCTTCAAAGGCTGGACTAAAGGGTTTCAGAATAAGCCTTCCCAAAGTGTGCAGCTTTGGTATGAGGATTACTTTTTAAATATTTATTACTATTATTACTGATTATAATTTCTACACCCAACTGGAAGCGCCAACTCACAACCCCAAGATCAAGTTGCATGCTCTTCTCAATCAGCCAGTCAGGCACCCCTTATTTTTCTAAGTAAACTCCTCTACCTTCAATGTGGGCTTGAACTAAAGATCCAGAGATCAGAAGTTGCATGTCCTACCAACCAAGCCAGCCAGGCGCCTGGGGCCTGTGGACTACTTTAACCGGAAGTGAGTCAAGCCCCAAAGATTCAGGAAATGCTTTTACCTCCTCCTCAACTGCCCAAAGGAATTTAGATAGAGGGCCTGATCCAGGAAGAGAACTATCACCAGAGATAACTGCAAAGAATACGAGCTAGGTGTGGTAAACTGGGGGAAGCTCTGTAGGACCTGGAGATCAAATTCCTCTGTGTTTCATTGTCTATGTACGGCCTGGCAAACATTTATCAAACATTTGTTCTTCCTATCGTCCTATAAACTGTCCTTCTCCCCTTTGAAGTCTCAGACCCCTACCCCCTTTTCTCCCTAGCTTAGGATGGCATATAAATCTCAACTCTGACTCCCTGTAGATCGCATGTTCTCATGGGGCTCCCATATGTATGTAATCAAAATTTTTTCCTATTAATCTGTCCTGTATCAGTTTACCAGCCAAAGGAACCTAGAAAAGTATAAAAATAATCCCCCAACACATTCCCAGAAGCAATAACCCTTACCAATTTGTGTATTCCTCCAGAGATGATCTATGAATATACTAAGCCACCCAGGCACCCCGGAAATGAACTTTTTTTTTTCCCAGAAATAAACATTTTAAAAGATACCACCATTTTTGTCCTGTTTGGCAGGATAGTGATGGCCATCACTGCCAACAATAAAAATCTAACAGTGGGAAAGGTATGTGATAACAGGCACTCTTGCTGGCTCAGTGGGTTAAGCCTCTGCCTTCAGCTCAGGTCATGATCTCAGGGTCTTGGGATCGAGCCCCACATCAGGCTCTCTGCTCAGCGGGGAGCCTGCTTCCCCCTCTCTCTGTCAAATAAATAAAATCTTTAAAGAAAAATAAAATAAAAATAAAAATTGGCATACTTTTTGTGGTGGTGGGAATGGGTCAAACAAGTAAAGGGGATTAAGAGTACACTTATCTTGGGGCAGTTGGGTGGCTCAGTTGGTTAAGCATCTGCCTTCACCTCAGGTCATGATCCTGGGGTCCTGGGATCAAGCTCCATGTCAGGCTCCCTGCTAAGAGGGGAGTCTACTTCTCCCTCTCCCTCTGCCCCCTGCCTTGCCGCCTCTCACCACTTGTGCTCTCTCTCAAATAAATAAATAAAATCTTTTTTTAAAAAAGAGTACACTTACTTATCTTGATGAGCACCAAATAACATATGAAATTGTTGAATCATTATTATACATTTGAAACAAATATAACTTTATGTTAACTACACTAGAATTTAAAAAGTTTTAAAAAATTAGTACACCTTTCCTAGAGAGTAATGTAGCAATATGTTCTAAAATCTTAAATATATAATTATCTTCTGAACCACCTATTCTAGTTGAAAGCATCAACTTTAAGGAAACCATCAGGGATTTTTTAAATAAAGTATATATAAGGATATTCAATACAGTGCTATTGATAAACAAAAAAATTCAATATCCAACAAATGAGGATAACACTTCGGTAATGTGGATACTAGGCGTTCATTAAAAACTGAGGTCGTAGAATATTAAAGGACACAGACATATGTTCACCCTGTTGTCTTAAGTGAAAAAAAAAGCTGATTACAAAATACTGTGCAGTATAATCCTAATTATAAAAAAATACAGATATATAAAGACAGGCTAAATTATACATCAGAATTCTACTGTGGTTATCTCTGGCCAGTGGGATTATTTTTATTTTCTTCTTTGTGCTTAATTTTCTAAATTTTATCCAGTAAATGGATTAGATTCTTATTAAAAAAAGAAGCAGTTGGGCTCTTAATTAGTCAGGTCCCTTATATAATCCTACCCAGCCGACTGGGGGGTGTTACTTGGCTATATGCCAGGTGACAATGCTTCCTTCATCTGTAAACACATTAGCCCAGTAAACTACCAAAAGCAGGGCCTGGTATTGCAAGGTTTGGGTTTTTCATTCACAAAAGATCATTCTCATAACAAGGAGAGGGAAGGATATATTCTTGGTCCGTATCTTTTTGCCTTTGGTGAGAATTTTTGCCAGCTTGCTACTTTGTAATATTACTGTTAGATTACTAACTCCAAGCCACACCAACGAGAAAGAAGAAATTGTAAACTGATGTCAACACTGTCAATCATCAGGTTAAAGAAGAAAAGAGAGAGAGTTACAGGTCAACTCCCAGAGGTAAAAGCGGTAATCAGGTCATGTCCACAGTGGCTGGCCATGAACAAATGTCTTTTGGTGCCCTGCTTGGTGGCAGTAAATCACCAGCAGAAAGGACTGAGAAATAGAGGTATTACCTAATTGCTACTTATTGTTAACTTGAGTTGAAAATGGGAGGGACTAATCACAGGCCTGTACCCCTGAAACAAATAATAATTATATGTTAGTAAAAAAAAAGAAAAGAAGAAAAAAAGAAAAAGAAAATGAAAGGACTTTGTTGCAAATGTTTGAGTGATGTCTATAGCTGGAGTTCTGAACTATTTATTCACTGCGTTATAAAAATCATCAAATAATTTGGGGCCTGGTAAGAAGAAGAGTTGCCTGTAATCTTTCCCAAAAAAATTCCCCTAATTTTTACAAAAGGGAAGTTCTGAATCAAGTACGTTATAAACTAAAATCATCGTAATTTGCAGAAACCCACAAGCAAAACTTGTTCACCAGAGCTGACTGTATTTGTGCTGACAGGATAACAGAAATTACTCTTTCATTTTGAAGCATAAGGAAGTTAAATGATTTGACTGAGGCCATAGAACTGACTGGTGGCAAAGAAGTGGAACTTACTCTGTTTGATACTTACTCAGATAACTTATCCTGACAGAATGATTAGGATGCAGGACTTAAAAAAAATCAGATGGTTCCACACGTGCCATGCCGAGGTTCTTTAATAGATGATTTGGTGAACAGGTAATACCTACCCTAGATATGTCTCAGAATTAAGTACCCTTCCATGATCATGTTGAGATCTTAAGCCAAGTGCTGAAACAAGTTCTTGGTAAAAGCAAACATCTTTTCCTTTTCTCCAGTAAAAATATTTAGTTCTATCTGAAAGTCACTCTGCTGCCTATACACATGCAGGTTTGTCTTCTGTCTGGGTTTGAATTAAAATGACACCAAGTAAAGGAGACTGCCACAGCAAGTGACTACAAGCCAAATTAAAACAGTACCACAGAGATGGGGGTGCCTGGGTGGCTCAGTGGGTTGGGCCTCTGCCTTTGGCTCAGGTCATGATCTCAGGGTCCTGGGATAGAGCCCCGCATCGGGCTCTCTGCTCAGCGGGGA